AGAGCCGGTGATACTCCAACATTGATAAACAGCATCTAGTTAGTGTAGTGCTTAAAAATGTTTATTAATGTAGCAAAATGCTCCTTTTTTCTTTAAACAATGAATTCCTCTTATCAGTACTGATGCTCATATCAAGCATAAAAAAAAGAAAGGCATGCATAATGCATAGTACCAATGACACCAGACCAATAGTGTCCCTACCAGGGATGGGATGCCCAGCCTCTGTCTAAGCAAAGCATAGAGCATCCCTGCCTAAGAGGTTAACTGGACATTCAGGTAAAGTCAGTACAGACAGCCGGCAGGAGAGTCCTTCAGGGTCTCTCAACCACACAAGCTGGATCTCCTGCACAGCCTTTAAATGACCTTGAGCTAATCGGACTATGACAGTCTCAGGTCCTTGGCCAGCACCTGGAATTTGTTGTTTAACAGTTGTTCTGCATGCACCACTGTCACACAGGAAAACTGTTGGGGTGCTATTCACATGTATAGTTAATACAACTAATCCTTATTTGTGCATATTAATGGCACACTTTGGCTAAAATGCCATCAGAAGGCTGATAAATAGAGAGGAAAAAGGGACAAGAACAGAGGGACAAAACCTAGAACAAATAATGAATGTCTATTCTATTAACATTTCTCTATCTGTAGAATGGGACTGTTTTATAGGTTTTTTTGTCAGGGGGCTCCCTGCCCGTCCATGCCCAGGGCCCCAAATTTCCCAAATCCGCCCCTGCCTGTAGACCATCATGACAGGAAAAAATGGATTTTCAGCTGGCCCCTGACCAAAGGATTTGGCAGCTCAATTAAAGGAAACACTCAATTTCAGGTTTTGGTTCAGGGGCTGGCAGTGGGGAGATTAAGCCTCCCCCCATATCTTTTGACCAAGCCCCCACAGGTCCCCCAGAACGGGTAACCCTTGTGGAGGTGCTGGGCATAGGAGAATAAGCCGGTAGATTCTCAACTTTAGGAGCTGGCAAGACTGGGGCTGAAGCAGAAGCAGCAGCAGCACCAAGTTCATTTGGGTCTTGCTGTAAAGCTGCTTGTGCAGCTGCTTGTGCTTGCTGTCTTTACGATGGGTATGTGCAAGGGTATGGGTTCTTTTATTGTGGTTCTGCAGGCTCCTGTATCACACAAAATTTAACAGGAGTGCCCTGGACCATCAGAACTTTTTCTGGTCTATATTTTTCTTTTAAAAAACAAATCTTCTAGGTTTAAGACATCCATATTTTCACCCTCTATCTCTCTAATAGAAAATGGTTGCTCATCTAGTCATGCTGAGCTTCCTGCTTTTGTGGTTTACTTTGACAGTGTCTAGCTATGTGGCCTTTTTTTCCACATGACCAACACGCTCGGGAATTATCAGTTGAGCGTGAATCAAAATCTCTTCCCTTTCCACGGCCTCGGCCTCTGCCTCGGCCCCTACCTTTGGACTGCTGATAAAACACAGTGTCCTCTTCCTCCTGATAAAACACAGTGGATTCTTTATTTTTATTCTTTTTACTTTTTATGACTTTCTCTGCATGCAGGGCGGGATTTATATACTTTTGGAGCGTTCCACCACTCATCTCTATGTGGTGACGATTTACCCATTCTTGAATTATACATTCTTCCACATCCTTCTTTGGAGGGGGAATTCCTTCTACTGCTTTTCTTTGTCTCTCCTCTCTCTCTCTCTTAGCTCTGCGCTCTCCCTCTTCTCTCTGACCTGCCAATTTCATCCAGACCATGGTTTGCATGTAACCTTCTTTTGCATCAAAGTGTCTTTATTTTTGCTCTTTGTTTTTATTTTTTGTTGCAAATCTTTTATGTTTGTGGTGCTCAATTTGCCATTAAAACCGTAGTTTTTTATCCAGTGACACAATGGCTCTAACGCTGATGGGTCATCATTTTCGACTGCTTTCCAATCTTTGCACTGGAGTTTCTCTAATAACTTCTGTTTTTCTTTACTTTGCCCTTTTCCCATTTTGAACTAAATTTGGGCCCAGTGGGTTTTTAACACCTGTCGTGTTCTAAACACTGGGGCTTCAGACAAGATGGTGATCAACTACTTTTTGTGGTAAAACTCACTTCAACCTTTACAGGTGGAGTTTTCTTGTCTACAAACATCCACAAAAGCTCACCATTTAACCCTTGTCTTTTTGGTATGAAATACAGATATCTAGTGATATCTATATTTCCTCACACACACACTGCGCAGTTAACTTTTACTTTATTTTAAACACAGAGGACGCCGCTATCCTATGCAGAATTTAACTAGTTTACAACTCGGGGAGCCTGCCCTTACAAACTAGGGGAGCCTGCCCTCCCGCGGACTTTAACTGTTTTAAAATTTCTGTTTTACCTGATAGAGTCTAGAATTGTCAGGGTTTTAGTACAAAAGGGGAATCTCGTGACCCCACGCTGAGAGGACTTCAAAAGGGGAATCTCGTGACCCCACGCTGAGAGGACTTCAAAAGGGGAATGTCGTGACCCCACGCCCTTCACTTCTATCTTTTGTTTTTGTTTTTTTTATATTATTATATTTTTATAAATTTTTTATATTTTTATATATTTTTCTTCCAATAATTCACTCACTCCTTATTAAAAGAAAAACTACTCACAATTCTCTGCGTCCTCGAAATGCTTCAACCGTCGGACCCCAGCTTGTAAGGGAGAGACCAGTCCTGTAAAGGGTCTGTTTGCTGCGGCCGCAGGCTTATCTGGGTCTCACTTACCTGCTGGGGGTCGTCGGGTATCTTGCAATCCGGCTCGAAGGACCAATTAATGTTAGGTTTAAACACCAAACATTTTATGCAGCAACCTGTACAAATAAAGACACAGAGAATTTTAGTATGATTTACTTGCAAGGAGAGTGATCAGAGACTGTTCAGTTACAATTCTCCAAACCACTCTGAAAAAGTCTCCGCTCTACCAAGCTTTTATTAAGGAACTCCCTAACTACAATGTTGGTTCCGACTGCTAAGGGAGGGGTGAAACCCAGTCGGAACCAGAAGTCTGCAAAACATCATACAGTATCATGAGATAAGAGCTTTCACTCCTTTCTCCGGTGTTAGTGAGTGCATTCCTCCATTCTCCTGACCTTGAGCAGCCAGCTCTCTCATTCAGCACTCCATCTGCACAGACTTAAAACATTAGTACAGAACAAACAAGTAAAATACTTCAACACTCTTTATGATATAAGTGAAATAAGGATAACAAAATGTGTGAGCATAATAATATGATCCCAGTGTGTAAGCATAATAATATGATTAAAGTAATATGATTAAAGTAGAATAACTTGTACAATTAATCCAACACTTGGGTTCCAAGCTCTTAGTCCTGAGCTGCATGGAAGTTCTCTATGGATCTTCAGGTTTGGCTCAGAGGGTCGGCTCGGCAGGTTAGCTCTTCCTGAGCTTCACAGAGGAGACACTGGTTTCCTGGAAGATAGAGACAATGGTTAGAATCCTGGCTGGATTCAAAGTCACAAAGATACTCAGAGAGTCTAGGCTTAGGCGCTGACCAACTGGATACAACACTGCGACATTGAGGCAAGGTTTGAAGACAGCTTATATAGTGGGTCCTCTGATGATGGTAATGAGCAGCAGCTGTGCAGGAGGCTCTGCTCAGGAGGATCCACGGCGGACTCTGCTGGAGAAAGATGGTACTACTCCAGCTCCCAACACCTGCTGCTATTGCACTTCTGGTTAGACCACCTGTACATGTGTAATGACAATAAAGTTGAATCAAATCTAATCTAAAATTTATCAAATGTTTCAGAAGCCTAATTTTTTAATCAGATTAAAAAAGCTAAAACAGTTTGCCCTATATTTTTGCAAAAAAAAAGGATTAAAATGACTAAATTCAGTTTTTACAGTGAATGCAAAGCAAATGCACTGTTTTTCTCATTTTTATTCAATGTATCATCTTTTTAATTGTAAACCCTAACACTGAGTTTGAGCATGAATAACCATTTATCTTTTACCAACTGATATTGCTAAGAGTTTTTGTCCACATAAACAATTAATTTGTAGACTGAATGTGCACTCAGAAAAGAAGAAGCCACTTCTTGAAAAAAAAAAAATTAATTCAGATTACAGGTGGGGTGTTCCGATTAAACTCTTTTCTTTCCGATGCGATACCGATATTGCAGTTTTGAGTATTGACCAATGCTGATATTGACCCAATAATCAGCATGAATCATACATGTTTATTTCCCATTCAATAGTGTGGAATAATAGAAAATGCTAGATCACATGGTATTACTTAAACAGAGAAGAATAGTTAACATCATTTAACAGAACTGACCCATTTATTATTCTCCAAAGAGTTACATAAACCTTAAATAAAAGCAGGTAGACGTCAAATATTTCTATAAGCTTTCTAATAATGGAGATTTTAGAGGCAGACTAATCTATTCTGATTTTCATTTTTTGGCTGATATCAGACCGATTTCAGATATCAACATCAGATCAATGCATCCCTTGTTTAAGTACAAGGAGACTAATTCCAATGAACAAAATATTGAGGTGTTTATAATATAAGATATAATAAGGTTTAACAAGAATCACTACTTTTAGGGAGAAAAAATTAAAAGTTTTAAAGCTTGAAAGCACCGACCCAGCAGTAAAGTACATTATTTGGGTGTTTTGTTGCAGTAGTAACTGTTGCACTTTACATAATATATGGCCTCATATGGAAAGAAGTACAGATGGGGCTTCCAGAATGACCAGTGTCCCTAATCATAATTGACAAATATGAATTAAAGCACAAGGTGGATACAGGGCAATAAGTCAGGGTTTTAGGAGTCCATCCGATTGACAATATTTAGGCATAATTGAGAAGGTGTGTGTAAGCAAAGTAACCTTCAAAATTCTTTTTAATTTGAGAAATGTGTGGAGACAAATCCAAATTGTTTTAATCATGTGATGCAGTTTAGGTCCATTCTACTAGATACTAAAGAATGGAGAAATTTTGCTTTTTCTGCTGTTTGATAACTTTGCATTCATTTATTTCTCCAGGTGTTGTCAGAAGACACCTTACATCCTAACACACACTAAGGAGGAGGGAAAAGCTGTTGAAGTGAGGTCTCTAGTCAGACGGAGCAAATCTGACTTCAAACAAATGAGCGGTGATGAAGCTCATGTATGAGAAAATCCCTCTTTGATTTGAAAAACCATACAGGGATCATACGTCCACTGTATGAGTACAAGGGCTTTCTCTTTTGTCCACATCCTTTTTCTCCATTAATGTAACGCTGCCATAGTTGATTGCACTGATAGACTCAAAATGGTACGGGAATATAAACAAATGTTAGCATGGAAAGTTTTTCAACTTACCTTAAATTTTTGTTATATAAACCTGTACAACTGTCACACATTTCTTGTCAATATTTTTTCTACATTGTTTCTGATTGAATATAGAGTGGGGTAAATAAACCTTTACTTTTTAACTCTTCTATTGTAGAACATGCATTTGTAAAATAGTAATAAAAATTGTGTTCACTTTTAAGGGTTACCATCCCAAACCATGATTAGAAAAACCCCCCAATATGACTCATGTTTACACTTTTTTGTAGTGGTAGGTGTGCTGCATACTGCCCAACCAGGAGGACTATTCTAATAAGGGTCTTTCATAGAATTTATGTTTAGTTCTCAACTTGACCACCTTATGTCCCCCCCCCCCCCCCCCCCCCCCCCCCCTTTTGGGGATTTTGCATGATTGCATCGTATCTTAATGGGAGACGGGACAATTCTCATTACTTTCAATCTCAGTTTGATACCATTCCTTCCTACTCATCTTTTACATTTTATTTTATGTATTGTACGGATTGTACGAGTAATATAAATTACTATTGTCACACATTTAATGAGAAAAAAGCTTTTATTGTAAAATTTATTAATTTCAAACTGATTTTTTTCACTAAGCAAAAAAAATATTTGAGCAAAGAAACAAAGAAAAAACATAGATAATTAGCTGGGTAGCTTTCTTGTATCAGCTGATGAGAAATATTGCAAAGTAACCACATTACGGTGGAACTGTTATCTGTTTTCTTATATACATTTGCATCATTCTTGGAACTATTTACAACAAAGGTTATGAGTTAATGTCAAAAGGGTATATCCAAAACTGCATACAACTGTATTTATATGTCAAGCTAGAAATATATTCCTCTTCTAGATCCCTTCATCAGTGGCTTGAACCTCCTTCAACTCTACAGTTTTTTTTAGCTAGTTTCTGTTTACATGCAGAGCCCTGAAGAGAAGTACTTTCAGGAGTCTAGTTGAAGTATTTTTAAATGTTAAACACAGAAAGGCAATACATTTGAATTAAAATACAAACCACCAAAAAAAAAAAAAACAAACCATCAAAATCTATATTTAACGGAAGGGTTTTTTTTTTTTTTAATGAATACTGATGAAAAAACTATGGTCTATCACACATACTTACATTTTCCAAAAACATTTAAAAGCCTCGTTGTTCAAAACATACTTGATGGCAACATCATCGTGTTGCCTGTATTTTAGCTCCATTTAGTCACTATGAGAATAAAAAGGACTAAATCATTTAAAACCATCATTTTCTTTAAAGCCCATTATTATAAATAATAGAGACGTTTTATATAAATCACCATCAGGGGGCGATATAGGGAAACGAATGCATGTGTAAGGAGTTATGAAAAACAGAGTAGTGTCAGCTGCACTATCTGGGGTAAAGCTTAACTGTCTTGTCAAACAAGTACAGGAAATGTACAGCGAATGTTAAGTTATCAAAGAATGGGATTTTAGAACAGTTGTAATATTACGATATTATTTAGGAAGTTAAATGAAATTAGTTAAATAAATGCTGTTTTTTATTGCATTGTAATAGGCCTAGAGTGTGATCCACTGAGGGACAAATCTTAAACTGTAACATACTGTAGGTTGTTGTCTTAATTATTAAAAATTATGATGTATTATTAAAGCTCAACTGGACCTCAGCCTTTACCTTTGACATAAACCTCATCTAGAACTGAAGAAGACTAAAACTATAAGATATTACTGGTAAGGTGGCAACTATCTGCTTGTCTTGCACTTGCACTCCAGCAACAGTTAGAATGGAAGAAAGAGTGACCTCAAGAAGAAAAGTTTGATATTTTGGTAACTCATTAAGGACAATGGGACAAGGGAGAATATAAATCAGTTGTAAGTTGTTTTTTTTTGTGTGTTTTTCTTACATGTTATGTTTGTACGGAAGGATCCATTTAAATGTGATGTTTTAAATTGAGGTCATGGTGTGTTATGTCAGTAAGGGAAAAAAAAAACATCAAAAAAGTTTTCTATGACAATGTTAAAGAAAGTCTCTTCTTGTTTCAAAGGACTTAGAAAAATGTCTCTAAACTTCAACAGGGAATGCTAAAAACAGGTATTATTACTTGCCATTTTCAGCCAGCTTTGTAACCCAAACATAAAAAACAAATCCCCACAAACAGGCTGTAAGTAGACACAACTGATCCTAGATTTATCCGTCAACTGCATCTTCTGTTCAAGGACACATCATGTATTTTTTTTTACACAGAACTGCTCCTTGATTTCTGTTTATACTCCGGTTTGCACATGGATTTTATTTCTCAATGTTAAGCAATGAACCGTTTAATAAAATCTGATTTCTATCTAACATACTAGCAGCTGGAAATTCTCATTTCTATCAGTAAAGGTGTCCTCAGTCTGGATTTTTTTGTGCATTTCTGATCAGTTTGGGTTTAAAGAAAAGATTACATTCCAAGAATTTCTGGAACAATTTCTGAAGAATTTCTTTCTTTCCTTTAAGTGCAAGCGCACTTGCAAAACTTGTTTATTAAGTCATTCATCAAGAACTGGTGCAGATTTGTCTGAACTACTGGTTTACACTTGTTTGAACTAGTGTAGGAATAAACTAAAGACATAAAAATAGGGAAAAGAAAAGGCAGCTAAAATGTAAGTCAGGCTAAATGACTACTTTAACAAATGTTATGATTTATGGGTAGTATGTCATTACTATACTCTGGAATTCTTAGAAATAGCACTTACTGGGGTTTTTTTGTTTCCCAGAACTGCTTCAACATAATATTTATTTGCTTGAGATATACATTAGGGATGAGCTGTTTGATGAAATTCAACTCTAACTACTCCAAGCCATGTGGTTATTTACCCTGTAAACAATAGCTTTAATCATCTTTTGTCAAGGAAGCACAAAAAGGATTTCAGCTTCACCTCTGAAAACTGAAAAAAAATCATGCATCCGCTTTTGGCATTTACTTAATCATATTTAGTTACTTTAACATAATTGTTTTATGTCCTATCCAGCTAACATGAAACAATGGCTTTAAAGTAAATAAAGATGATTAAGTAAATGTCAATAGTGGTTGCACTACTGTTTTCAGTGAATGGTGAAGCAAAAGCATTAGGTAAAGTGCTAGTACACTGAAAAAAACTTACTTTAACACAACTGTTTTATATCCTACCCTCTGAACATGAAACAATTGTGCTAAAGTAACTAAATATGATTAAGTAAATGCCAAAAGTGGTTGCATTATTGTTTTCAGTGTAGCAGGGTTAGCACACATTTGAGCTTTTTATTTTTTTTTTAAGATTACTTCTGTTCACAAAAAACAAACATGGATTTTGCAAAGTCCCTAGAGAATGAGGTCATATGTCATGGATGAAAATTAGGCTGCTTATAGGCACTGGTGTCTGTTGCATGAGGCATGACACCCTAAGAAAACAGGCGTATTATTTATCAGAAAAACTGACCATGTTAGACTGATACATGAACATGGTCTGCATTAGGACCTAATTAAGTTCCCCAAGCTACACAGCAAATTGAAAAGTGTTAAATAATGTGGTGTTAGTAGACTTTGTACAAAGACAGTGTTAATTTAGCTCTTTATAGAGTTATATTATACAAATATAACTCTTTGGTATATAAATCTGGAGGTGTTTAAATGGAAAAGTAACTCTTTTTCTATCAACTCTGAACTCCTATAGTGGATTTGACACCCAAAAAGTACATTCACAGACTCTGCCTCCAATGCTACAAGTACTGAATAAAGCTGAGGAAAACTTTAATCTCATACAGACCTCTTTAACCGAGCCTGGTAAATAATTTCTCTCAGATGGTTTACATTTTTTATTTGCTTTCTAATTCTATGGCGTTTATCAGACATCCCAAGTTCCAAAAACTTATTTCAGGGAGATGCTTATAGCCCAACCCCCCGCCCCCCCGGGGACAACGGATCTGCACCGTGCCCCTTTCATACACACTTAAGGCAAGCAACTTTTTCAATACTTTCAATCTTGTAGCCTTGAACATCAGTTGTGCTTTCTGTTGTTCATGGGACTTCAGCATACAGTGCACCTCACCACGATGTCAGCGTTCCTCACCATGGCCGTTTCTAGACAGGGGCCAATGGGGGCCAGTGCCCTTGTAGATCATGTTCTGTCCCCTGTTATGGCCCCTGTACTGAAGACATGTTACTTAAAAGAAATTCTAATGATGAAATGAGCTGGAACAGACATGGTTACTGATAGGTCCTTTGGATCTATTTCATTTTTTCTTTACAAATTCTGTTTTACTAATTATTCAAAAACAATAAAGTGATAGCTTCAGTGGGATTGAGATAGGATCACAGTTTTCATCTAAAACTTTTTTTTTTTTCACAACAATAAATGCTCTAATTTTTAAAGATGAATTTAACCGTTTTTCTTGAGTTCTAATTCAAATTTCATAGATCACAGTAGTTTTAACTTAAATTAAGTCAAAAATATGTAAAATTCCTAAATTATAAATTTATGTTGACATAAGAAATATAATTTCTTTTGAACCTAATTGGAAAGAAATTCACTTCATGCAGCTCTCTTAATATATTTGAATCCCTTGCCCTGTTTTTTATCTCATGCTTTTCTGTGCGCCCATGAAAATATGCTGCCCCCCTGGTAGATTTGGTCTAGATCCGCCACTGTTCCCCACCTTCACTAGACGTGGATATACTTTAGTATATTCTGCTGTAAAATTAGTGCTATTATATATATATATATTCGTTTTTTTACTCGAGGATTCAACCTCTGCCTTTTTTCTCAGCTTTGAGTTAACTATAGTGTTGAAAAAAGGGTTTATAGGCGAATATCTTATGTATTTTTTGGCTAAACTCATCAACATCGATACATCTAAAATTATTTGGGAAATGTTATCTTGAACACATAGAGCTGTGTGAATCCCCATCTATCAGAAGACTGTCTCCTATAAAAATCGGTGCAGCAAACAGCGATTTAATTGTAGAAATGAACTTACTCTGCAGTGCATGAAAATATTTTTGGGTTTAAATTTAGTGCTCTTCAGAATTTTGTTACAAAGCAAAGTATTAAAGTTGAAATTGGCAAAGGTTCCACATTGTTACATGTTTTGAAAAAATATTTCCCAATTGTGATGTACTTTTGAAATACATATTTGCTGAAAAAAAACAAACATTGCGTCTTTACTTATTTATTTTTCCAAAGGGATTTTTATATGTTCAGAAAAGTAAAATTGTTTTATATTTATAGAATAACTCCTATGTAGTTAGAAAAACATTCCATGAGAGTATTAACATTCCAATTCTAACACCTAGTTGGTGTAATTAAGTGTTAAATCATCAACTCCAGAAAAGATTTAATATTTAATACTAAATAAGAGTTACAATGCCAACTCTCCAAAAAGAGTCAAATTAACATTTGCTGGTCTGGACCCATATAAACACTTCAAGGGTGTTAAAATCAAATCTGACAGTGCTGATTTGAGCATGTTGGATTTGCTGTGTAGGATTAAAAATAATATATTTATCAATATCATTAGTAAGAAGGAAAAAGAAATAAAGAAATCTGATCTAAATGTTATCTAAGGCAGAAGTCTAGGGAAAAAAAAAAAAAAATCCTATCAGACCAGTTGGATTGGATAAGTTAGGGACTAAAGTTGGAACTAAACCACACCTTCTGATATCCTGTACTCATTATCAACTTTACCATGCCCGCCGTAACATCTGATGCCAGCAGAATTGTTGATTATGAGTCTGCAACCTCATTTCTGGGAGAATGGGGACCTTTCCAGCAGCGGGTGTTTTTCCTGCTCTGCCTGAGCTTCATCCCTAACGGACTCACGGCGCTGTCCATGGTGTTTCTGGGGGGCACGCCGGCGCACCGCTGCATGCTGCCTGCGCACCTGAACCTCAGCGCCGCATGGAGAAACAGCAGCATCCCGCTGGAGGAGGATGCGAGCCGCGGCGGGGATCTAGTGCCCAGCAAATGCTTCAGATACAAACTGGAGCATTTAATGAATTATTCGGAAACAGGTTTGCTACCTGGAGTGGACGTGAACCTTTCTAATGTGCCGAAAGAAGGCTGCTTGGACGGATGGGAGTTTGACCACAGCTTGTATACATCTACTATTGTGACTGAGGTGCGTGGATTATTGAGCTCTCTTGTGTTTTCCTTCCAGACTTTTAACAAAAAAAAAAAAAAAAAAAGAATTCGATAATTAGATTAAAACTAAAATATAGAATTCATTTTTGTATGCTTTATAGTAATTTGTTATTATTATTTTTTTGGCAGAAAGCTAGATAAATGGTCACTAATCCAAAATAAATGAGATCTGCTTGATCCCTTACTCATTAAAGAATTTACGTAAGGCAAATTCACTAACCAGTCATGCTGTGTGATTCAGGAGTCTTTTCACCTGACCTTTAAAAGATTTGCATGTAGGATTGGAACATTTGCAAACGTGTTTGCTTAGAGCAGATCTTGCGGTTGCAAATTAGAAGACATTTTCCCCAACTTTTCTTGTGTGTTAATTAAATTGTACATCGTCCAAAATTGCCTAACCCTTGTGATCGCGGGTGCAGTGTTTACATCCATAGTTAGCCATTTTTAAGACAATATGACAGGTGACGGGGAGAGATTATCTGAAAATGTGAAGATTTATGGGAGAAAATTATATCGCAGAGCAGTTTGTGGGGTGATGATGGACGTTCTCTTGTGGCTGTTAACAACTGTTAATTTTTTTTAATGCTGCAGAATTTAAGTCCAGGTATTGTTATTATTACTTTGGTTTAACCACACATGTAATTTCTAAGCACTCTAGTACTTTGTGGTGCTTTCCCCACTGATATCATTCTACTATTGTTATTTCTTACACTCCAAATATGTTTACATGTGCACATACCTCCTCTCAGTCCAATGAATTACTTAGCATAATTGCTGTATTTATTATGCATTACATAAATTATTTATTAAGGAGCAACTTAACTTGTGCAGATGTCGCAACACCATGGGTATTGCTGTTAGGTTTGTTGAGGACTGTTTAATGTGACTAAAAGCTGGGTTAAAGCATGGTCGTAGGTTTGCATAGGGACCATAGGGACATGTCCCTACAAAAATGTTGGACATGTCTACTTGTCCCTACCAACAATTACATGTGAATAACATGTTTATAATTTACAATACAGCATTGTTGCAGCAGTAGAGGAGTTCTGGATGGAGAATATCGACAGACGAAAACATGTTTTGTCTAAAATGCAAAGTTATTAATTTTTTTTCAATGGTGGTATAATTCCTGATCTAAGTGGGTCGCTCTGTGAGCTAAAGACATTTTTTAGACTTAGAGTCTCCAGTTTATACTCCAGTTAACGATTAATTGATTACTGAATTTGTTGACATTATTTCAATAATTGATTAATCCATTTAATTGTTTCAGCCCAAATAAAATACATGAAATGGGTTAAACACAGTAACTACATCCTAGATGTACAACATGTAAGCTGAGGTTAATATATTAAATGCTCAGTGCTCAGTGTCAGTTCCTCTTCTATTTTGACAATAATATCCCATTTTCAAAGGATGTGACTAGCATCCAAGTTTAAGTACTTACATGTGAAACATGTAAAACATGTAAGTACTTAAACGTGGATATTCTAACTTACTTTGGAAGAGATGCAAAAAGAGGCTCCAAAAGAAGCCAAAGACATAGAGCAAAACAAAGACCACAGGGGAGGGCTGCGGCATCCTCCTCTTCCCACAGCAACTCAGAGTAAACTGTTAAAAGTTAAGGGTAAAACAAAAAAGTCAAAAAACAATCCACTGGACTTTGTTTCCAAATCAGCTTTATGCGTGCAAACTATTTTGACACCGTTTAGTATGCAAATTTTCTTGAAGATCAGGCCATGTGAGTTGTGAAACAAATTAGACAAAGGTTACAACCAGGCCTGCTGACAGGCTTGATTGGTTAAATTTATTTATTTACAGTATTTAACACATGCATCTCAAGTAACATTTCAATGTTTACATTTACATGTAGTGTCCTACGGCTCAGGAACAGAGGACTCAAATGCAAGTCTTGACACAGTGGAACAAAGTTCAATATTTATTTAATACACTGTGGTCAAACATCAAAAATCTGAAGTAACTAGAAGTAGCAAAAACAGAGGCAGGGAAAGGTCCACAAAAAAAATTGCAAAGAAGCTCATTTCAAATCCAAAAGGCTGGAAAGCTTGACTCAAAGGACAAAAATGAACTGGCAAATGGAAGCTGCCTGACTGAAAAACAAATAGGGCAACAAACAAAGGAGGAACAAAAACTCCAGGTAATTCACATTAAGGTGTGGTAGATCCCGATTGTAGGGAGGAACTGAGGAAGTGAAGAGGCTTAAAATTAGATAGAAAATGAAAACAAAATAAAATAGGAAGTGAAAACAACTGGTGACACATGTAAACTTAACTAGTCAGGACTGTCCCTGACATTACCCCTCTCACAAAGTCTGGCTCCAGACGGACAGGAAATGGTCCAATAAATCTTGGAGATAGCTTACGTCCGTCCGTACGAAGGGCAAGATTCTGAGTGAACAGCCAGGTCTCCCTCGAAAAAGAGATTTTATCTCAAGGGACTTCCTGATAAAATAAAGGTAAAATAAAAAATAAAATAAATCAAAATATCCTCTAGACTCTCTGGTCTTTTGGCCCGGTAGACAGGTGGCAGAGCCCTGCGTCTATTGGCTGCCCTTTTGTTGGTCAAGATCTTTTTTAGGAGAGAGCGGCGCACCAAGGCCCAGGTCCTATGGCAGTGGTGGATAAGGGCAAGGGCAGAAGGCACACAAACCTCTTTCTCAAGGGCCGGGAACAGAGGAGGTTAATAGCCATGAACAGAGTGAAACAGAGACAGGGCAGTCAAGGAGCAGGGTAGGGTGTTATGGGCAAACTCCACCCACATAACCTGCTTGCTCCATGCAGAAGGACATCTAGAGGCCAGGATGTGCACACCAGTTTCTAATTCCTGGTTTATTCATTCAGATTGCCCATTGGTTTGAGGATGGTAACCTGACAAGAGACAAGAGCTCCTAACAGGGAACTCTGAGGACCTGTATAAGACACCATGTTAGCAGGAAAACCATAAATCTTGAACACATTAGACATCAAAACCTGAAAAGTCTCCTTTGCTGCAGGCAACTTAACAAGAGGAATGAAGTGAGTCATTTTAGAAAATCTGTCATCCACAGTGAGAATGGTGGTGTTACCTTCTAAAACGGGTTCCTGGAAAGCATTATCCAGTAGACCACAGAAACTTAGAAGTAGGATAAGTTAAGGCATGCAGAGGTGCTGCAATAGTGCTGAAACCCCTTATGAACTTCCCATAGAAATTTGCCAACCCCAGTAACCTTTGTACCTCCTTTCTTGAAGCTGGGACAGGCCAATCAGCCTCCACCTTGGCCGGGTCTATCTGCATCTCCTCCTGACCCACGATTAAGCCAAGGAAAGACACCTTGGGAACATGGAAGTGACACTTCTCTTCTTTCACATAGAGTTTGTGTTGAAGAAGATGCTGTGGAACCTTGCAAACAGGCATAGTGTGGGACTGCTCATCAGGGTACACAAAAACAAATGTGTTGAGCATTTCTCGGAGCACATCATTTATTAGAGCCTGAAAAATAGCTGGGGCATTAGTGAGCCCAAAAGGCATAACAAGATACTCATAATATCCTCTAGGGGTATTAATGTCATGTTCGGTTTAAGGTTTCTAACCCACACGCAGAACACACGGACTCAAGGGAAAAAGTTCAAAGGTTTATTGATAACAACACAATAAATATGAACAGATCCAAAGGGTTATCTGATCCAGGACTGGTCACTACTGGGTTCACTGCAGAGGGGGACAGAGTGGTTAGCTGAAGTCCAGATATTTTGCAGAGTTTGAGTGTGCAGGTCTGTACCTGATCTAGAGTTTGAGCAGAACGACAGAGAGGGGGAACCAGGAGGGTCCAGAGGCTGTCGGCAGGCAGAGGGCTTGGCGGAGGCAGAGTTTGGTTTTGAGAGTTTGCAGGCAACAGGTTTGAGTTTCCCTTTCAGATTCTTCAGAGAGCGGGCAGGCAGGTCTTGACGGATTTTATTCTCCAGGGTTCTTCAGAAATCAGACTGACAGATTTCCAACTGGGAAACTATTCCAGGTTTCTGGTTTCAGGCAGGTTTAACCTGGGAAGCAGAGAGGACAAAAAAGGTTAGGTTCAGGTTTTTTGGGAGTTAGAGATTCAGACAGGCAGGTCGGCTAAGGCTTGCTAACCATAACTGGCAAACACTCTGGCGTCGGGGTGTAGCTCTCCGCCTCCTTAAGTACTGGTCTCCTGATGAGCAAAGGAGCCGCAGGTGGTGCAGTCAGCTCCAGCCCCAGGAGACCTAGAACACCCTCTTCGGTGGAGAAAAGTGGACAGACCTCCAGATCCCAACAGTACCCCCCCACAACGACCGCCGCCTCCTGGCGGTCCAGAAGAAGTAGATGGCAAAGACTCACGGTATTCATCGATCAAGGACGGGTCCAAAATGAAGGATCCAGGAACCCAAGTGCGGTCCTCCGGACCGTACCCTCCCAGTCGACCAGGTACTGCCAACTGCAGCCCCGGCGATAGGAGTCCACGATCCGGCGAACAGTGAAGGCAGGGTGACCGTCAATGTCCCGGGCGGGTGGAGGGGAGTTGGACGGAGGGCAAAGAGGGCTAGTCAGAACAGGCTTGATCTGGGAAATGTGGAAAGTAGGGTGGATTCCGAGTGAAGATGGCAGATGCAGACGGACGGCAGACGGGTTGATAACAGACTCTATCTTGTATGGGCCGATGAACCTACGAGAGAGTTTACGGGACATGGACTTGAGGGGAATGTCTCGGGTGGAAAGCCAAACCTGTTAACCGGGAGTGTAGGTGGGAGCAGGGCGTCGTCTGCGGTCTGAGAATTTCTTGTTTTGTGCAGATGTTCTGTTCAGTGCCCTTCCAAACTTTTCGGCAGCGGCGGATGTGATGGTTGACAGTAGGGACAGAGATCTCCTTTTCATCAGCGGGAAACAGGGGTGGCTGATAACCTAAGGATACTTCAAAGGGAGACAGACCGGTTGCAGATGAGGTGTGAGAGTTATGTGCATATTCTACCCACGGAAGATATTGGCTCCAGTCTATGGGGTTGGTAGATGTAAAACAGCGGAGGGTGGATTCCAGTTCTTGATTCATGCGCTCTGTTTGTCCATTGGATTGTTGGTTATACCCTGAAGAGAGAAAAATCTTGGTATCTAGAGCAGAGCAGAAGTGTTTCCAGGCCTGAGCAGTGAACTGAGGGCCTCTGTCGGACAGGATCTCCTGGGGGATGCCATGGAGTCTGAACACATGTTTGACGAGAAGTTGGGCTGTTTGGAAGGCAGTTGGAAGCTTTCTGAGGGGAACAAGATGGCAGGCTTTATAAAATCGGTCAATAATAATGAAGATGGTTTCATACCTTTGGAAATTGGCAAACCAGTAACAAAATCCACAGCAATGTGGGACCAGGGACGAGATGGAGCAGGTAACGGATGGAGCAGACCAGAGGGAGGCTGATGAGAGGGTTTGTTTCGAGCGCAGACTGGACAGGCTAAGACATACTCTTTGGTATCCTTGTGGAGGGATGGCCACCAGAAATGGTGAGAGATCAAGGCTATGGTTCGACTTACACCGGGATGAGCTGAGAATTTGGCTGAGTGCATCCAGTGGATGAGACGGGACCTGACAGAAATGGGTACGTACGTCCTGTTGGGTGGTCCATTTCCTGGGTCGGGTTGGGCCAATTCGATCAGGTCGGAGATCTCCCAGGAAACGGTAGCCACTGTGCAGCTGGCAGGGAGAACTGAATCCGGTGTTTCAGGCTTGTAGGGTGAGTACAGGCGAGAGAGAGAGTCAGGTTTGATGTTTTTGGAACCAGGTCGGTAGGAAATAATCAGGTTAAAGCGGGAGAAAAACAGTGACCAACGGGATTGACAGGGATTGGATCTTTTGGCAAACTGAATATATGACAAGTTCTTATGATCTGTCCATACCAAAAGGGATGCTCTGCGCCCTCCAGCCGATGCCGCCACTCTTCCAGAGCCAGTTTTATTGCCAGGAGTTCTCTATTGCCAACATCATAATTTTGTTCTGCAGGTGAAAGTCTGCGGGAGAAAAAGGCGCATGGGTGAGTCTTTTGATCTGAATCTGACACTTGAGACAAAACTGCCCCCACCCCAGAATCAGAGGCATCCACCTCCAGTATGAACTGCTTGGAGGGGTCAGGTTGGACCAGGATGGGTGCACTGGAAAAAAGAGCCTTGAGTTTATTAAATGCAGCCTCAGCCTCTGCAGACCAGTGGAATGTTCTTTTGACAGATGTCAGGGCAGTGAGGGCTGAGCTGTCTGACTGTAATTTCTGATGAACCTTCTGTAGAAATTAGCAAAACCCAGAAACCTTTGTAGCTGTTTGCGGTTTTCGATGGTAGGCCAGTCCAGAACCACTTTGATCTTGTCTTTGGACGGCTTCACCTGCCCGCCCTTTGAGCACGAATCGTAGAAAGGTAACAGAAGGTCGGTGAAATTCACACTTTTCAGCTTTGACGAAAAGTTTATTTTCGAGGAGTCGTTGGAGAACCAAATGGAGATGTTTCTTATGCGCAGACAAGTTCTTGGAATATATCAGGATGTCGTCAATATAGACAAAGATGTTGAGAAAATCTTTCAAAACGTCGTTAACTAGGGCTTGAAGACAGGCAGGAGCGTTAGTCAGACCAAAAGGCATTACCAGATACTCGAATTGCCCTAGAGGACTTTTGAATGCAGTCTTCCACTCATCTCCTTCTCTGATTCTGAGGAGATGGTAGGCGTTTCTTAAATCCAACTTGGTGAAAACTGTGGCTCCTTGGACGGGTTCAAAAGCAGATGCTAACAGAGGTAAGGGGTACTTGTTTTTAATGGTTATTTGGTTCAAACCTCTGTAGTCAATACACGGCCGCAGAGATCCATCCTTCTTACCCACAAAGAAGAAACCGGCCCCAAGAGGAGATGAGGAAGGCCGAATAATTCTGGCGGCTAAGGCGCACTCAGTAGGGTTAAACAAGCGCACCCTTTCCGAGGCTGTCGTTCTATTGGCTGGAAAGGTTGCTAGGCAACGATCCAACTGCAGTCTGAGAGAGCAAAACAAATCCGCAAGCAGAGCCTACGGGTTTGAGAGTGTAACAGAGCGTGGTTTGTGCGCGAAGAGAAGGAGGCAAGCGAGAGGAGAAAATATCTGTGCAAGAAGCATTAAATCTGAGAGAAGAAACAAATACATAGAAAGATTCCCCTTAATTCTTCTTTGCCTCTCCTCGGTTGTGAGTCTGGTATAACCAATCTGCATGGGCTCTACTTCAGAGGTTTCTGTGGAGGGAGAGACGAAAAGTGTCTTAGAAACAGGAACAGATACAGGTTTATTTCGGCTCCTTGGTCTAAAATCAGTTTCAGAGGACACTGAAAGGGCAGAGGTGTCGTTAAAGTTAGATGCTGGGGCAGGAACAGAAAAAACGTGGCTTCTTACTCTAGACTTTAATCTGGCTCTTAATCTGTTATCCAGGCGAATAGTTAATCTGATAAACTCCTGCAAGGTTGCTGGCTCATCAATTGTGGCCAGTTCGTCCTTAATTTCTTTAAGGCGTGGAAGTAAGCGCTTTTAAGCGCGGATTCATTCCATCCGAAAGCAGCAGCTTTGACCCGGAAGTCGATGGAAAAATCAGTTCTATTTCCTTGTTTAATATTCAACAGACCTCGAGATTCAGTGGATTTATCTGTGTCTTGGTTGAATACTTGAGAGAATTCTTTGAAAAACTGTTCAAAAGTGCAAGAAAAACTGGATTCAGAAGGAAATCTGGCCTACGCCCATCGAGGGCTGTTCCGGATAACTGAGATAGAATAAAGGCTATTTTCTTTCTGTCATTTGGGAAACTGGACGGGGAATGTTCAAAAATCAGTTTGTATTGAAACAAAAATCCTCTGCACTTACTTTGGATTCCAGAAAACTTCTCAGAAAGTGAAGGGCGGAATTCAGGAAATTAAAAGCAGTCTTCCACTCATCTCCCTCTCTAATTCTAATCAGATGATAAGCAATCTTAAGTCGAACTTCCTAAAAAACTTTGCACCTTGCAAAATTTCAAAAGCAGAAGAGATCAGAGGGAGTGGGTACCCATTCTTTTTGGTGAAGTCATAAAGTCCCCGATAGTCAATACATGGCCACAAGGACTTGTCACAAAGAAGAACCCAGCACCCGCTTGGGATGGAGATGGTCGAATGATGCCAGACTGGAGAGCAGAGTCTATGCAATCTTACATGGCCTGCTGTGCTGTTCTGTTAGGGACAATGAATGAAGATGTCCCTTGGGGGGAACGTTTCTCTGCAGTAAATGAATGGCACAGTCATATGGCTGACGAGGGGACCATGAAGTAGTGAATGAATGACTTGCTGAACACTTCTTTAAGATCATGGCAACAACCTTGGATAGATCAGGACAATCAGAGTCCATCTCCTTTAAGGCAGATGTGGCTAATAAAGTGGAAAAAACATTTTCAGAACTCAGCTGGTTCTGGAGACATACACAGCTCCAAGACAAAATAGAACCTGTAGTCCAATCAATATTTGGATTATGCTTAACTAGCCAGGGATGACCTAAGATTACTGTATGCTCAGGGAAGTCTGTTAGAAGAAACTTAATCATCTCAGAATGATGTTCAGGGAATGTAATCTTGACAGGTTGAGTGTGATGAGAGACTGAGCAAAAATGATGTTAATCCAGAGCCGTGGCCTGCAGAGGTTCCTCAAGGGGGATACGTTTCAGAGTTAATTGTTCTGCAAAGTGAACATCAATCAGGTTGGTATCAGTCAATAAGAACATGCTTTGTAGAAGTGGAGAGTAAAATAGTGGGATGTGCATGCTTGGGATAGGAAAGGGAGAACAACTCACTTAGGTTGTTTTCTTTTGAGGGATGCTTCTATTTGTTCGGCAGCTGGAGACTAGCTGGCCCGACTGACCACAATACAGGCACAATCCCTCCCTAAAAGGGCGTTGACGCTCCTCGGGAGGAAGACGGGCCCCTGAAATATAGAGATCTTTCCAGATTTTAATTTATGAAGTATGCAGATTTGGCTTTACATACCTGCTCCAGTCACATTGGATCCCTTTGATTTTACCCGTGTGATTTCTACCTGTGTGTTTAGATTGCACCACAAAATTTTCTGGTCAAAATCTTTCTTCAAAGCAAATTCAAAACATCTCAAACTCTCAACAATACCCATTGGTGTGGTCTTAATCATATCTTCATCTAGCAAAGACAGGGAATAAAACCCTTGACAGAAACTGCTCCTTCAGAGTGCTTACAAGTTATGACTGCCTTCTCAGGCTTTTGCAGGTGAGTGCGATCTAAAGTGAAGCTGTTCATTTGCCTTAGGCGGCTTCTTCAGCTGAGAGCAGCCATAAAAACAGCTTCTTCCCCTCTGCCATAAGACTCATTTGCACTCCTTATAAGATGCTATTTTAATTTTTAGATTTTATATCCATATTTTTGTCTTAAGTGTATATATTAGTCTATTTTATTGCATGCCTTATACCCACAGTGTTTTAGATATTTTTATAATTTTATTTACCTATTCCATATTATATGTTTCATGTTGCACGATTGTACCATAAAATTCCTAGTTTGTGAATTCCTGATTCTGATTCTGATACTATACCCTTCATTTTAAAGTGACAGACTGCTGCCTGACTGTGTCTTTATTTTCCTGTCTCCACCTGCCTCGCAGCCAGTATAGCAGCTTGACAAACTGCATCATCAACGGGCATAAGCAGTTACAATGAATGTCATGTGCTTCGCAATCCTGCAGTGGAAGAAAGTAATAATGGGAAAATCTTGGAATATCGATCTTAGAATATAGATCCACTAGATGTCACTATTTCTTTTATTATGTCTTGACCTCATACATGATTTTATTTATTGATTTGTTTGCTTTTCGCAGTGGAACCTGGTGTGTGGTGAAAGCTGGAAGAAGCCATTCAGTTCTTCTATGTATTTCGGTGGTATTCTTGCAGGCTCCTTCATTTCTGGACAACTCTCTGACAGGTTGAAAAATAAACATTTAGTTGGTAACAATAATGGACTGACTTTACCCGTGGCCTACTCTTAAAATTACATGATATATTTTTTTCACATCCAATTAATTCTTGACAACAACTTTAATTTTAATTCAATGGAGTGTCTGGTTAGGGTTTATTTACAGTATATGTAAAACTTAATGGAGATCAAAAATATGAAAACCAATGTCATGATTACTTCTCTGTGCACATATTTAATTCAAAGATGATTGATTAGATATGTTATCAAATTTATAATGGCATTCAATTATATCACTTCATATTGGGTTTAATCCTTAAGTTTCACAATGTAAAATCAGAAGGTGGGGCTAGCACTAGTCTACTCAAAACAATTGGTCTTATTTGGATTCACTGATCAGGTAAACCAATAAAATTTTCAATTTAGTTTGAGCCACAGAAATGTACTTAATAATCCAATGGTCCCAAAAACCATCACCAAAAATAATAATAATGCTTTGTATTATTATTGTTGTATAAGAATAAAATAAAAGTGGAGAGTTAAAAGATAAACAATAAATTACTTTACTGTAAAGTGTTTTAGTAATATAAAACTATGCACCTGGGAAATAAATAACCCACATACAGCTATGGAAATTTTTACAGTAATGGATATTTGAAAATAGCAACAACATCAAAGATGTGCAAAATGACAGCAGCATGTTATTTAACTGACTAAAATAGAAAATGTGCAAAGTCAGCATCAATGTAACAACTTATTGAGGTTGTTGGGAAAGGTGGTGGTTATACAGTCTTCCAGCTGCTAGCGTTATCTGTGATAACGCTCCTTGGTGCATTTAGGGATATTTTCCGAGTGTTCTTTTGTCTTTATAGAATAAAAGTAGCTGTACAGAATTAGTACTTTTTATCTTCATCACACAACAATGCCACTCTATGCAGACTATCATTGTTTTACCCACAAGTTAACTGATTCTGCTTCGTATTAATTTCAGATTTGGAAGGAAACCAATAATGTTTGCCACCATAGCACTACAAGTCGTGATCACACTGATCCAGATTTTCTCTTCAAGCTGGATCATGTTTGTTGCCTTATATTTTCTTCTTGGACTAGTGCAAATTTCCAACTATCTGGTTGCATTTGTTCTAGGTACAGTATGTCTTTTCTATTATTTCCAACCTGTTCTTCACCATCCCAAAATATACATAAATGTAACATGAATTTTACCTTTCATTTTCAGGATCAGAACTTTTAGGCCCAATGGTCCGAACATTATTTTCCACTGCAGGGGTGTGTTTGTTCTTTGCTTTGGGCTATATGCTTCTACCCCTGCTGGCATTCTTCTTGAGAGACTGGAGGTTGCTTCAAGTCACCTTCATGTTGGCAGGTTGCGTTTGTCTCCCTCTTTTCTGGTAGGTAAATTTGTTTTTCTGAATTATTTTGTAGGTTGAAAATGTTGTTTGGAGGCTGTAGCTAAGATGTCTATTAATCAGTTAATAAGTTTGTTTGTAAAAACAATATAAATGTATATTTTTTATGTATATTTTTTTACTTCTTTATAAAACTTGCCACAACAGCAGCTTGACCCAAAATACTAATACAAAAGTTAGGCCTGCAATTAGTTCATAAAGCACAACTTTACTTCACGTGGCACCTATAAAAGAACATTGGCTACATTTACATTCGCAACATTTCCCCAGTCTGATCTAAGTCTTGGTTTATAAGAACATTCTACAGGCACAATCCCTCCCTAAAAGGGCGTTGACACTCCTCAGGAGGAAGACGGGCCCTTGAAATATAGAGATCTTTCCAGATCTTTATTTATGAAATACGCAGATTTGTCTTTCCATACCTGCTCCAGTCACATTTGATCCCTTTTATTTTACCTGTGTGATTTCTACCTGTGTGATATATTTAGATTGCACTACAAAATGTTCTAGGTCAAAATCTTTCTTCAAAACATATTCAAAACATCTGAAACTCTTAACAATCATCTGGCAAAGACAGGGAACAAAACCCTTGACAGAAACTGTTCCATCAGAGTCGTTACAAGTTATGACTGCCTTCTCAGCCTTTTGCAGGTGTGTGCGATCTAAAGTAAGGCTGTTCATATAGCTTGAGGCAGATTCTTCAGAAGAGAGCCGCTGTACCCTTCATTTTAAAGTGACAGGCTGCTGCCTGACTGTGTACGGAGTGGAAGATTCAGGTTCTGTATTTTCCTGTCTCCAACTGCCTCACTTGTTTATTGTTAATTCAAATTCTCAGTTTCCATGGATACAAAATAAAACGGCCACATAAGCAGTGAGGCAGATCAAACATGATCGCATACTGTGATTATAATACTTTTATATCATTGCTGATATCTTCGTTTTCTCTCTCTTTCTCTATTTGTCTGGTTAATTTTTTGTTTGGTCAAGCAAAGATGAGCATTTGGCTCAGCAGGAGAAACAAAATGAAGGAGAAAGGTTCTGTAGATGTTGACCTGATGTTCAGAGGGCTGGTAGCTGCACATCTTAGGACAGAGTTTGCCTATTATAAAATGGTGTCAGACTTGAAAGAGTTCATTTTTATATGGGGAGGTAGAGATACTTTATGTTTTGTAAGTGATTAATTGCTTGCTCTCAGTTTTGGAGGGTTTTAATTTTTTTGGGGGGGGATTTCCGACTGTTAGGATGAGTGTATGTACATGATTCACTTGTGAGTTTGTATAATAATGAAATATTGGACCAATAAAAGGAGTTCATGGTCTCTCTCTCTCTCTCTCTCTCTCTCTCTCTCTCTCTCTCTCTCTCTCTCACGCTTTTTTCTCTCTCACTCATTGTTTCAAAATGAGACAGGTTCATTTCAGAGTCTCCTCGGTGGTTGCTTTCCCAGGGTAAAGTAGAGGAAGCTGAGGCCATAATCAGAAACGCCGCCAAACTAAACAAGATTGAACCACCAGCTCTCATCTTTAGCCCACTAATGGTAAGAGCACAAAGGTATTACCAACCATTAGCTGTGTAATAAAATATTAGATACAATAACCAAAGTAAACCAAAAAAAATTAAAATTACTTTCGACCCTTCATAGTCTTGTTATATGAATCAAATTTCCCTGTCCTACAGCTGTACTATTTGGATATTGTAACAATTGCTATACATCGTTTTTTTCTAGTTACAGCTGTTTACCAAAGTATGATAGGGATGCTTTTATCAGCTGGGGCCAGAGGTTGTAAAGATTTGCTTTAAAAAGAGAGGTGGAGCTAAATCAGGTTATTCTTAGACATTAATCTCCTACTGACTGTTAAAAAGTAACAGCCCTTAATGTACTGCCAAAGATTCAGATTTGGGTTGGATCAAAGCCTTATTTGTGTGTGAGAATGGCCCAGTCAAAGCACGCACTAAGACCAGTCGACAATCTGTTGTACTTACTTATTTTATTGTTGGAACATTCTCCACCTAATATGACTCAGCCTCATAATAATTAAAAAATATGTGAAAATTAAACAATACCCCCCAAACTAGAATGCAGCACTTTTCTCCTTCTGAGAAATTTTGCAAGACCTTCATTAGGGTTACAAAGATCCTGTTCTACATACATCGCCACTATTATCAGTTTAAAGGATGCAAAGGACTCTAACTATAAATGTAGAGTTTAAAAAATATGTAATTTTTTCTTCCGGGCAACTTTCTGCTACCATCTTATAAGAGACAGTTCTATACTCATTGCAGATGTGCAGTGTGTGCAGGTGGCAAGATAGGGCTAAGCCCTCAAATTTATTATTTAATTTAAGTTCTACTTAAGAAGTGTGTTTTGTTCCTAATGCTCTGCTTTCCCACAGGATGGAAGCAAGAATGAAAAAAAAAAGGCCCACAACATCTGTGACCTTCTTCGTTTTCCAAACATCCGATGGCTCTCTGTCACAATGTGGCTCATCTGGTAAGTCTGCTGATGTTTCTTAGCAACTATGCACACAGACCCACTGGTTCTTTGATCAATAAATATAATAATTTTGATCAATAAAATAATAAATAGTATATTATAATGGCCTAAAACAAAAACAAATAAAAAAAACTTTCATATCTTACTGTTACAAACTCATTAAATTGAATACAAATGCATGGGTGCCAGTATAGGAGTCAACATCTGTAAAGTAATCTTAACTGAATTTTAGAAAATGAAAAATCTTTGCCTCTCTCAGTAGCTCAACTTGATAAAAAAAAAAAGAAAGAATTGCACACGACTGAGGAGCAGATTGAAAAGAAGAGGCCGCTGGCCAATTATTTATAACTCTAGGGCACTTAAAAATGGAACTGTTCTTAGAGACATTTAGTAGATGTGTGAATAATACTTACTCCAATTGTTTTATTCTACTTTAAATACGGACTGATTTTATTTTTGTATATGCTGATCAAGCATAATTTTATGTCCTTTATACTACAGTTTTCTGGTTTTTTTTTCTTAACCAATGTAAGGGCAGTGCCTTTAAGGGCGAGGACTCTGACACCACACACTTAAAAAGAAAGACAGATGTTCAGTCCTCATTTCTTCCATTGCAGGGGTTCTGGTGTAAAGTAATACAAACTCCATACAGCTGTCTATGTTTGAGTCACTCTTTAGATTGCAACTTTGAAAATGATTACAGAGGCAACTTCCAAGACCAATCTGAATGATATGTTCTGTTTCAAAACAATATCCTGACTGAGCATGTCAGATCCATCCATCCATCCATTTATCCATCCATTTATCCATCCATCCATCCATCCATCCATCCATCCATCCATCCATCCATCCATCCATCCATCCATCCATCCATCCATCCATCCATCCATCCATCCATCCATCCATCCATCCATCCATCCATCCATCCATCCATCCATCCATCCATCCATCCATCCATCCATCCGCTTAGTCCTGTCAGGGTCACTGTGGGGCCGGTGCCTATCTCTGGCAGGGGTGAGAGGTGTGGTACACCTTGGACAGGTCACCAGTCTGTCACAGGGCAAGACAGAGAAAAACCTGGATGACTCTTAACTTTCATCTTCTGAATGCAGAAAAACAGAAGTTATAGTCTTTGGACCAGAGTCTTTGAAAAAAAAAAGAAGCTAATTAGACAGTCACTTCATTTTTTGATCAAGACATCATTTAAATCCTATATCAAATTGGTTTCTAGAATCATTATTAAAAATTATTTTATAGAAACATTTTTGATAATGATCAAAGCACTAAAACATTTTTTATGAACTATGGCGGAACAGTTTCTAAATACCTGAATTAGCTAAATGTGTTAAAACCTGCCGATGAAAAATATTTGATTGTATATTCCAGTCCTTGCAGTTTTTACCAAAAACTCTTTGTATTCAGCTTCAGCAGCTATAAATGGCAACAGCAAATGCCCCACAGAGCCATTTACAGAGCTTTCACAGTGGATTCCTAGTTCTTGAGGTCAGGAGCTCAGAAAAATTACTGCACATTTTAGTGGGATCATAGTCCTGATGAACTGACTTCCCTGATGATGTTTTGAGGTGGACTTTCAGCTCTCTAGCTTGTAACAATAGAACAAAAACAACCAGAGCACAGACCATCCAGAGCATCAAAGTTTTAAAGAACTACACTGCAAAAAATCTGAATCTAGATAAGTCATTTTTTATCAAAATAAGTGCATTTGTTCTTGGATTGAGGAGGTAAAAGAGACATTTTGCCAGTGGAACAAGACAATTTACACTTAAAATAAGAAAACACAATTGCATTGTCTTATTTCAAGTGCATTTTATCTAATTATCTTATTTTAAGAGTAAAATTACTCATTCCATTGGCAAACTGTCTCATTTACCTGCTCAAATTAAGGGTGAATACACTCAATTTAAGAAATTTTTTACTTATTTCAAGATCGTTTTTGCAGTGTAGAATTAGACCCAGTGTTCAAATTTCAGCATTTAAGCATTTTTGACGCCGTAAACATGTTCAGTTAGAATGCACCATTGGGAATCCTGGTGCCTTGCACAATAACACAGTGATCGCTTATATCATTGGGAAAAACACCAGATGCAAGAAATTTAAAAGGAATATTTGTTGAAATTTTTTCAGCGAGTGGATTTTTGAAAGATTTTGGATGGGGTCTTGTAGGAGAGCTTAATAATTATGTAAGGTTTAAGGATTCACAATGTGCCTTTAAAGGATCAAAAGCAGACATAAAACAATCCAAGTTCAAATCACCAACCAACACTCTTTCATTATATTTGACTTCTGCCTAAAGGTTTATTAGAGTAGGCCTAGTTAGTGAGTTGCTAGTGGGAGATTTAGGCCTATAACACCCAACAAACATGACATAATGATCGCTGGGCAATTACACTTCAAGTGTTAGCAGTTCAAGCTCTTTACTTACTGACTGCAAAAGTGCCATTTTTACTCTCAAATTCCGCTCAAAATATATAGCTACTTCAGCACCTTTTCTTAAGGTATTATAACATTTTCTTAAATATTATAACCATCAATAAGAATATATTTTTCATGTACAGATTGCTTGAGCCAAGTTTCTGATAATACTATGATATCAGCATATGATGAATTTATCAAAACCTTAATAATATCTAACTTAAGAAGTAGACAATGAACATTGGTATGAATCATGCCAAGAGCTGATCTAGCTTTAAACTCAGCAGGAGTAGAGCATTGTGTGGGTGTATCTGAGCCTTGATTAGTCTCAGCATTTCCTGATAGCAATAGTAATAAACCTACTAAAAATGCAGGTTTCATTTTACTGTGTTTTAAATCCATTTTCCATTTAGAATAAGGTATGATTACACATTTGGAGGCTTTAATAATAGCTAGGTAAACGATCTCTATAGTTAAATGTTAATTCCTTAATTGTCCCACAATGGGGAAATTCACCTCTGCAATTGACGCATCCCCTTGGAGAGGAGTGGGATGCCATTGTGTGGTGCCTGGGGAGCAGGGTTTTGCTCATGAACCCAGAGTGGAGGCTGTGGGGCTTTGGAACCAGGTACTTGCAACCTTCTCAGAGCACAAGCACACTGCTCTAACCACTACGCCAACACTCCCCCAGTTGTATCTATCTAATGTAAATGGTCTTAATTAAATTAATTGTTTAAATAGTCTAAAATAGTTGACAAAGAAACCACATTCGACCAGACACTGTAAAAAAGTTAAATTCTTTAATAAAAATAACTAACTTCCAAATACTTATCCATACAAATTTAACATTTTGTACATCAAATATTGATATTTGGGCACAGCATTTGGTTGGACTGCTTCGTTAGGCTTCATTTGGCCATCATTATATTTATGACTGAGGCAAAGTTGATTGTCACCTGTAGGCCATCTGTAAGTCTCTTCAGACAAAACAAAATCTAAAGAAATCCCACACAGCAGGTTATTTGTTTGCATTGGAGAAAAATCATTTGTTTTGCCACAAAGCTCACAAAATGCACACCTGACACAGGAACTGACTTTGCTGCCATCTTGGATTGGGAAGTCAACATTGGTAGATAAGATCATAGCATTGGCCAAACATCGATCTTTTGGCAAGCATAATACAAACAAAACTATTTGAATCAAACTTTGATTTGCATCTAATCATTCTGTCATTTGTGTTTCAAATGTATCCCCAACAGGAATACCCTCACTGTTGCCTACTACGCTCTTTCTTTGAACACTGCAAACCTGCATGGAAATCCTTTCTTCAACTGTTTCCTGTCAGCTGTGGTAGAGGTTCCGGCCTATGGTTTGTCATGGGTTATGTTCCGCTGGTGTTCCAGACGGCTCAGTCTTAGCTCAGCGCTTTTTGCAGGAGGATTCTTTATATTCATCACACAGCTAATACCACCACGTATGACATCAATGCTTGTGATTATGTTTTTATTATACACTTTTAATACCAGAATTTTATATCTAATCTTGTTGGTTTGATTTTATTTCTTCCAGACTTGCCTGCTCTCTCCATAACATTTGAGATGATGGGGAAGTTTGCAGTATCGACTGCATTTGCTGTCATTTTTGCTTACACAGCAGAGCTGTACCCAACTGTACTTAGGAACACAGCTATTGGTGCTTCCTCAACGGCCTCCAGAATAGGCAGTATTGTAGCACCATACTTCATTTACTTGGGTTAGTGCCATCATATTACCCAAGTCTTGAGAAAAAGAAAAAAAAAACACAGATTTAAAAATTCTATTTATATTCAAATTATATATTTTTTCTTAATTAAAGTAATTATATATTAATGAAAGTTTTGATTGCTCAGTAAAAGTAGTACAGTAACAAATTTGGGGAATCTATCAACCAATTTAATTATTTGGTTTACTGTGCTAAAGAACATAATGACAATCTTAAAAAGACAAATGACTTTGATTTGTAAGGCACATAGATTAACTTAATTTGTGACATCTCCAGTGCAGGATCATGAAATACCAGACTGAATAAAAAAAAAATAGAAATCATGTATACAGATAAATTTTATGAATGCATCTAGTTACAATAAAACTTTCACTATTACTAAAATAAATATAACCACTTTTTATTTGTTGAATTTGTGTCACTTGGGATTTCCGTCTTCCATTCCATAGCTTCCCCAGTAAGCTGGTGTAGATTTTCAGTCGTCCAGGTCATAATCATTCCACGATCCACTGACTTTGTTCCCAAGTTTGAAGACGTTTCCCTTCCCATCCAGGTAGCTTTTTAGAATTGAAATGTCAGGAATAGCATTGAGTTCAAAGCTTTATGGAGTGTACCAAAAACCAGGGCTTAGTTTGGCTCAGAAAACATGCAAATTGAACAGGACAAACGGGTCCGCCCCTTGGGAATGGGCAGTCGTTGGGTGCTTTGTTAGCCTGCAATGTCCGATATCTGTCTGTGTCCCTGAAATGAGGGTTGTTAGCGGGAATTGTTGGCTTGGCTGAACAGGCGAGGTGTTTTGTAACCCTGTATCAGGGTGGGGTTGCAATGATAGCTTGAAGGGATCTACTCTATCACTGAATTATAGGTTTATGGGAGCTAAAAATCTTAGTCCTCCCCTCTGTTTAAGTTTTTTTTTCTCTCTTATCATAGATAGCTCCCTTCACGCCCCTCTCAAACCACTTGTTTTCTTTGTCCAAAATGTGAAGATTATGGTCCTGGGTGGAGGGTCACACCTTCTGACCTACTCTGTAATGTGGTGGTGGCAGGCAATGAAGATTGATGGCATGAGACTGAACCTCTGACATCCTGCACGTGGTTCTTCTTGCTCTTCTCGAGACTCATTGGCACCTCGTTCCTGCTAATCAGAAGAAACTTTGGCATCCTTTTTTTGTAAGGTGAGCATTGGTGGCTGAAATCCAAAAACAACATAGCAAGGAGAAAGAACAGTGGTACTAGAAGGCAGGGGGTTAATCTCATGCTTGACACAGGGTAAGTTTTGTTCCCATCTGGTGAAATCTGACTCAAGAAATAGGGGAGATTTGTTTCGAGCTCCTGGTTGGCCCTGTCGGTTTTTCCATCCGTTTGAGGATGCAAACCAGATGACAAGCTAACAGAGATCCCCAGCAGAGAACAGAACTCCTTCCAGTCCTGAGCCACGAATTAGGGACCCCCCATCAAAATGATGTCTGTGGGGATTGCATGTAAATTAAAAACCTCTTTTGAGATAATATTGTACATTTCTATTGCTGAATTCGGGGATATAGGGGCGACAGTGGCGTCGGATGTAGGAGTTTGCCCTGAAATCGAAGGATTGACGGTTCAAGCCCCGGCTCCGACTTTCAGTGTTGTTGTGTCCTTGGGCAAGACACTTCACTTGTATTGTCTACTGATGGTGGTCAGAGAGCCCGGTGGCACCAGTGTACGGCGACCCGCTTCTGTCAGTGAGCCCCAGGGCAGCTGTGGCTACAATGTAGCTTGCCGCCATCAGTGTCTGAGTGTGTGTGTGAATGGGTGAATGACTGAATGTAGTGTAAAGCATTTTGGTCAAGTCTCTTGACTTGAAAAAGCGCTATATAAGTACAGGCCATTTGACCATTTCTTTGGCAGTGGGAAGCTTCATTATAGGAACCGGTGAACCATCTTCGAAAATCTGTCCATGGTGAAAATGACAGAGTTATATTCAGAGACAGGCAAGCAAGTGATGAAGTCCATGGAGATGTGGACCAAGGCCAAGGGTACAGAAAGCAGTCGTAGCTATCCAGAGGGAGGTGGTCTAGAGCTCTTGGCTTGATTTCGCTGGGTACAGGTTACAACAAACACCTTTATGTCTGAGATTAGGGTGGGCAACAAAAACTGTCTGCACAACTTGAGTAGTTTTGGTTACCCCAGGGTAACAGAACAGGTGTGATTTGTGACAGCGGTTGAGTACTTTACTGACCAGAAGATCAGGAACAGTCTGAAAGTCTGGAATGATAAACTCAGCACCCCTGGAACATTCATTTGATGCCTCATACATGCTGGACAGCATCAGGTTTTACATTTTTTGTCCTGGGTCTTTAATACAAAGAAAAATGTTATCTCCCAAAATGAAAGATGTTCTGTTTTTAGTGGTTTTTAGAAACTCTTTTTCTGTGACTGTAGAAAAATTTTGTTGTGTGAAATCTGTTATTTTATGTCCCACCACAGGAACATATTCTGTTTCCCTGCCTTACATCCTTATTGGAAGTCTCACAGCTTTGACTGGACTGATTAGCCTCCTTCTCCCTGAGAGCTTTGGAATGCCTCTGCCGGACACCATCAGCCATATGCAAAGCTTTCCTGGGTAAATGAAAACCACCTCTTACTTCTTCTTTAGATTAGCTGCCATTAATTTAGTAGTAGGTCAGATGTTTTAGGGCATTATTTAAATAAAACACCAAATCCGTGTTATTGTACTCAGATATTTTTAAATAATGTTTAGGTAAAACAAATCCCAAAGACAAAAGTTAAAAATTAGACTCAGGGGTATATACAGTATATATGTCCTGTTACAGCAAACATGTTACAACATGTTTTCTGACTGATGCGAAAAAATGTCTGAGCACTATTTTTTGCCAACATTTACATGAAGATGTTTTACTGTTTAACATCACCAGTCAGAATAGACCCTGAGGATAAAACTGCCACGGGCTGAACTATTGCACAAGTACCTCTGTTGTCTCATAACTAACTAGCAACATTCTTAAATACATACCCATCCATCCCACAACCAAACTGATTGAAAAACATTCCAGTCAGTGTGGTACGTTAGTGCAAAGAGCTCAGAAAAATATAATTACATTTGATAGGTAATTTACGGTTTATCTTCCCAGTTTCAATTTTTTTGTGATATTCTAGAATTTATCCAAACTACAGTAATTGTTACAGAAGGAAACAGGTAAAAGATTGGCTCTCTAAGACGTTAGAGCTCCAACAAAGCCAATGTTAAAAAAAGACTAAAAACAATTAGATGAATTAATTATTATTGGCTGGTATTTGTGAAAAGTAAAAAAAATAAAAAATATAAGGGAGCAAAGCGGAGCATTTAGCTATAATCATTTGACCCCCTAACAATATTGCAACAATCAACGTTGTTGCACCATGATGTTTGGCTGTAGGTTGCCCATAGTGTATTTCTGTAGAAAATAAACATTTAGAAATACTTTAGGCCATCTCAGCCTTCAATGTGGCAATGAGCCTTATTCATATAATTTGGTAAACCTAATTACAATAAACAAAAATCTGTCAAGATTCACATAAAACCTGTATATTAAATGAGTCAAACAGCAATTATCTAACATTGCAGTAATTGCATAAGTCTTAGTATCAAATTTACAAAAATAGCATTAGAAAAAAAAGTTCACTGAAAAAAAGTTAGAGATCTAACCAAAGTATACAATTTATACACAGATTTATATTTTTATATATTTTTCAGTCTTATAGCATATTTTAAAAAATTTCCATTCCATAACAGAAATTTAAAATAGTGTTTGCAGTGGTGACAGTGTTTTACTATCACAAGTCAGTAACCTGTTAAATATGCATCTTTTCCCTTCCAGATGCTTTCAGAAGAGAACTTATGGCCTCACCAATACTAAAGAAGAGGAAAATGCAGATGAAGATAATTCTCTGGACATTAAAAACTAACATGATTATTGCTGGCTATAAATTCTGTTCACATCTCTGAAACAGAAACTGCACAGAAAGACAATAAATAACTCCAATCCCTCAATATGTAAAATATACATATAATTTTTTATGATTTGACAGTTTATATACTCAAAAGGTTCATTTCTAAAACATCTTCAAATTTTAAAAGCATGGTCCTCTTGCCTTTTATGCAGTATGATTTCATCCATTCTCCAATAAATAATGGATTTGTAAACAATATTATACCCCATGGATATTTTTGGGTATTAAGTTTAATTATACGAATAAAAAATATATATGTATTTTGTAGTAATAAATTCAGTGGGGCTAATGATGAAGTTACTTAAAATGCACATGTTTTCTAAGGTAAAGATATCTGTTGAACATACACTCTGTAAATATGGTACATAAACAGCAATATATCAATCATAAGACTAAGCAAAGAGGTTTCAGAAACACACGACAACTATTGGGTGTAGGATAGTAGGAAAGAAATAAATGGAATGTCATAACCAAATGGCTGGATAAATGTACAGAAACATCTGTGTAGAACACAAGCTGGACAGCTGTGGTGATTGACGTGGCCTTCCCAGATGATGGAAACATCAGGACAAAAAAAAAACACAAGCAACTGAAGAAATACCAAATATTCAGGGGAGAACCAGAAAGAGCCTGAAGGTGAAGACAACTAAAGTGCACATGGTCATCAGGGTAAAGTAACCCATATACTGGGGAAGTAGCGTAAACAGGTACCTGGAGAAACATTGGACATCTTAGTGCAAAAGTTTGCAGTACTAGGAACAGCTAAGCAGCTAAAATACTGCACAAAATCCTCATGCTCAGAGGACCTGAGCAGTCAGGTAGGCAGACAGGAAAGTAGACAGACAGACAAACAAACAGGCAGACAGGTGCCATGCAGAGTAAATTCAATACCTCTGGAACTAGCAGTTCTCCTCTAAAGTAGAGTGGCAGTGATGATAATATTATGTGGAATTTACATTTTAAAGTTGGTATACTAACTAAAAAATGACAACAAAAATACAGAAAAACAGAATTCACAAATGTATACCCCAGGTAAAGATGACCAAGACTAAAGACTTGCTCTTTTACAACGTAGGATTTAGGTTTTATAAGGGAGAATTTTTCTCTACAGTCATATAAGAGAAATTTCTGTAAAGACAAGAAAGCACTGCTCAACCTATTTACTGTTAGCCTGACGTAGTCCTACTCAATTCTAGTCAGAATATGAGTCTGATACTGCTCCATAGAGCTGTGATTATGGGGCGTGTTTCAAACGAACGAGGAAAAAAAATGCCTCAATTGGATAGACCTACAACCAATAAGTGCGTGACGTATGTTAAGCGACGCATAGTTGTTGTCAACAAAAATCAAAGCGTGCAGTTGCACGCCTAGAATAAAAAGATGAGCCTTGATCGCGTTTCTCTGTTCCTCTTTTAAAATTAATTTGCTGTCGATATCTTCTAGAACAGACCTAATAGCAGAATCTACACACCTCAACTCTCCAGCGGCAGCCATTGTTGTTGTCACCCAAGCGCGCTTTGGTCACGTGGTTGATTACGTTACTGTTGATCATCTGTCCATCATTGTATAAAGCCCGCCCTGACAATTTGATTGGCCCGGCAGATATTGTGCGAGCATACTCGCGCTACTATTAAGCAATGCCAGACCGAACTTCCTGACCTCAAACGTTGTGGGCGGGACTAAGTTCGGAATGGCACCCAGGCTAATTTACTGTATGTATTATGTAGAATCATACATTACTCTAAACAGCATCAATGTATACAATTATGATTAGGTTTTTTCTGGTTGGGATTTCTCATCAGCATAGACTGAAAAAAAAAAATTAAATAAATAAAACGTTTGGGTGGATAGTTTTCATTGTTTCCTTGTTTTGGACAGAATCACCTTAATACAATTAAAAGAGGATATTTAATACACTCTAGAAAAAAAATATTCTCACCTTCATCTTTAGCAAATTAGTTTCTTTTTGCTAAATGCCAGTAGAATGACTTAGAGAACTTTAAATATTTTTTTTTGTTTTTATATTCTTAAATTTACATAAGAGACTAAGATGCTTTTAAGCATCTTAAGAAAGCTGAGATGTTTAGGTCATTCATTTATAGGGATCTAATAGGTAAATTCAAGATGAGTTAAGATGAGCAATGCTAATGATTTGGAAACCACAAAAAAAGAAAAAGAAATTTGCCAAACTAATCAGAAGGAAAATGCAGAGCAGACGAAAAGAAATGGCTTAATCCATTTCTATTATTGTATTCCGGAGCTAAAAGCATCTGGCCGAATTTACAGACACACTTTGCAAAAAAATGTATAGTTTTGCAAGCCTGATAGCATCATGCCAATTGTAAATGGCATGAGGCTTCGCAACATTCAATGCAGGTCCAGTAGATTCCGAGACAGCTTGTTCCCCACCGCCATCAGACAGCTGAATGTTGAAAACAAAAGAAAAAAAATAGAAAAAATATTTTGACCCAGGTGTACTGCCTATCTTTAGGGTGTTTCATTCTCCACACATCAACCAAATAATTTTTTTAATGCATGAGACAGAAATGAGGAGGACTGAATATGTGGCTCCTCTCCAGTGTCCTCCTAATGTAAAATCAGTGCAGCAGTTCCAGTCACCACCCAATACAATATACTCTCCTGTACCAATATTATTTAGTTAATCTTTCAATATTTTTAAAGTTTCTTCCTCCTTATGGCCTTGGTTTGTTGCATATTTATATATTAATGAAAATAAAGCTGAATCCCTTTACTACAGCTCTCACCATAAAGATGCAGCCCTGCACTACCCCTGTGCTGGATGTAACTGTTATATTTAACTTGGAGGAAAACAAACTGCACTCAAACACGGCTAAGGACATGCTGCCCTCCCCACCATAAGCCCCAATCTATTTCGTTCGTGCTATTGGTGTGTGTTTAGTGTAAGAAAACTACATCCAGTCTTTTCTGTATGATTACATCTGTTATTATAGCCCTCTATTTTCCATCTCTACACCCATTTATGTTTAACGAGGCCACCCTTACACCCCGCATGTTAGGAAAGTAGAGACAGACCAGTAGGAAAACCCAACAGAGTTGAAACACACAGTGTTATATTATCATGGTACTTCTTTCCTTTTTTTTAGTTAAATTTTTTTGACATTTTGCTCTTTTTGGTTTTAAGAGTTTTCCTTACACCAGTGACATGCGTTTTGAGACGAAAACATTTCTTGCTGTCCAGTTAATCGAACCCTACAACTCTCTGCAAAGTTGTGACTGACTCTATAAATTTATCCAAATCAAGAAAATATTCTTTGACATTTACTTTTTTTCCAAAAATATTCTCCCCAAGAGATAAAAATCAACACATCCACCTTATGTTACACAAAGACTCATGAGGTATAAGAAACAGAAGATAACCTTGTTTGGGGCTCATTTTGCCAGATGCCAATGCTTGCTAATGTTTTGAGCCCACAGCAGTGCCGACTCCAAACTATTTCTCTGTTCTGTAACGATCTAAACTGGAATAAACCTGAAAAATTTTTTTATAGTCATTTTTATATAGTTTTACCCAGTTTTGAGTTAAGAATAATTATACAAGAAAAGGAGCCGAAGGGAAGTTCAGAGGTGTATTCGCCTTCACTGGGGACATAACTGCATCTTTTCCTGGCCTCCCCTGGTCATCCGCCCTCTACCCTGTCTTGACCACAGCCTCCTCGTCACCTACAGCACTGTCTTTAACCTGGGGGGGGCACCATCAGTCCCAGCCATGGAGCCACTGTCACCACCATCATCACCGTCAGCCCCAACCAGTGAGCCACTGTTAGCTCTTACCACAGAGCCGTCTCTCTCAGCATTATCATGGGGAGTAGCCTCGGGCAGCATCCGCTGTCCACTGCTCGCCTCCCTGCTGTACTCCGCTGCAGAGGTTGCTGCGGGCCCTGCCGGACATTGTCTTTGGGGAAATGCCATCCGCTTGTGGCCCACATCTCCACACTCAATACACTTCTTGTTATCGGAGCTATCATACACCATGCAGTATCCCTGCTCATGTTTAACACAGAATGAGACCTCCAGTGTTTCAGTTAGAGAGTCCAGAAACATGAACACTTTCCAGCTTGGTGTCCTTACAGCCCAAACTCACCACCCGGAAACAAACGGGAGAACACCAGACATGGTAATCCGAACCAAAGACACCGCCAGCAGGGAAAACGGAAAAAAACTCATTATTCAAGGCCAGCCCGCTTGAGTTGACTAAAGGATTACAGATTTTTCAGAAACACAACCACCACATTCAGGCCTGAGAGATATGAGATGTTCCCCACCTGTTCACCTGTTCTGTACTCATGTACAACTTAACAATGCTCACCTTAACTCCTGATGCCAGCAGAATTGTTATGAGACTGCAACCTAATTTCTGGGAGAATGGGGACCTTTCCAGCAGCCGGTGTTCTTCCTGCTCTGCCTGAGCTTCATCCCTAACGGACTCACATCGCTGGTGTTTCTCGAGGACACGCCGCCCCATCGCTGCATGCGCCCCTGAACCTCAGCGTCGCATGGAGTAACAGCGAAATCCCTCTGAAGGAGATTGCGAGCCACGGCGGGGATCTGGTGCCCAGCAAATGCTTCAGATACAATCTGGAGCATTTGATGAATTATTGGAAACAGGTTTGCTACCTGGAGTGGACGTTAATCTGTCTAATGTGCCGAAAGAAGCCTGCTTGGACATATAGGAGTTTGACCACAGCGTGTATACATCTACTATTGTGACTGAGGTGCGTGGATTATTGAGCTCTGTTGTGTTTTCCTTCCAGGGTTTTAATTCCCTCTCAAGTCGAAATCACGAAACCAAGTCGTTCTTTTAGTTACTGGCTTTAATCACACAAGAAGCATGATAGTGTGCCATGAGAACTGCTAAAACATACAGACAAAAAAGCAAATAAAACTAAATATTTTCCCTGGAAAAACGCAACCATACAATATACCGGTATGACTCAACAGAAATTCTTCACGTTACTGTCATGATGGGTTCTCTTAGAGTAAAGCCCAAGATGCAGAACACACACAGAGGCACTGGTAAAAAGTCCAAAGAGTTTATTTTAAGGCACAAGCATATGAATCACAGTTCAGGCAGGGGACTGATTCGCTGGGGTCTGTGCAGGGAAAGGGAGATGGCTAGATTTGAGCTTCCAGCTCACAGCAGGGAAACAACAGGGG